AAAATCTTCCATAGACAGCTTAAATGATTATCAACCAGTTGCCCTCACTCCTGTAATCACAAAGTGTCTGGAGCGACTTATCTCCAACCACAACCAAGCCTGTCTCCCCACCTCCTTCGACCGTCTTCAGTTTGCCTACCGGGGAAACAGATCAACAGAGGATGCCATTGCCCTGACGCTACACACAACACTGAGCCACCTAGAGACCAGAGGAAGCTACGTCAGGATGCTCTTTGTTGACTTCAGTTCAGCTTTCAATACCATCATCCCAGAAATTCTTATCTCAAAACAGCTGAACCTTCAAATCCCTCCCTCCACCTGCCACTGAATAAAAGACTTTCTCACAAATCGACCACAGCATGTTGAACTTGGCTCCCATCTCTCCTCCTCCATCCTGCACAGTGCTGGCTCTCCTCAGGGCTGTGTGCTTAGCCCCCTACTGTACACTCCGTACACATCAGACTGTACCGCATCCCACCCGTCTACTGCCATCTTCAAGTTTGCAGATGACACCACTGTGGTCGGCCTCATCACAGACGAAGATGAGGCAGCGTACCGGGCAGAGATCAGTAATCTGTCAAGGTGGTGCTCAGATAACAACCTCACTCTGAATATACAAAAAACAAAAAAGCTCATTCTGGATTTCAGGAGACACAGTCACACACATGCCCCTCTCCTCATAAATGGAGAGCGTGTGGACTGTTTCCCCTCCATCAGGTTCCTTGGCACCATCATCTCTGCTGACCTGTCTGGTCTGCCAACAACAGAGCTCTGGTTAAAAAGGCTCAGCAGCGGCTGCACTTTCTCTGGGTCTTGAGAAGGTGTGGCCTGGATCAGAAACTGCTGCTGGCTTTCTACCACTGCTCCGTGGAGAGCACCTTCACCTACTCTCTGAGTGTGTGGTATGCAGGCTCCACTGCTGAGGACAGGAAGGCTGTTCAAAGAACAATAATCACTGCCCAGAGGATTATTGGCTGCACCCTGCCATCCCTTGAGGCCATCTCCAGAACCTGCTGCCTGAAGAGAACTGCTGCTATCCTCCATGACTCCACCCACCCTGCCCACTGCCTGTTTGACCTGTTGCCCTCAGGGCGCCGCTTCAGGTCAGTTAAATCACACCACCAGACTTTCCAACAGTTTCTTCCCTTGGGCCATCAGAACATTCAAAATAACAGCACCATTCAACCCCCCACATCCCCGTCAGTGATGTGGGCTAATCTGTTTTAAATCCTTTTAAATTGTTGTTTTAGCAGATCTGAATCACTGGTTGCACTGTACTTTCTTGGTGTTTGCTAAATGTTTTTAAATTGTTTTTAGTCCTTTATCGTTTTTATGTTTATTGTCATGTGCACTGGTGATGGTGGACCATCTGTAATTTAATTGCCATGAGCAATTACAATAAAGTCTATTCTATTCTATTCTATTCTATATTGTTAATATTTTTTTTAATGCATGTAATTCTGACCAGACACGGAGACAGACGTGAAAGAGAAAGGAAGAAACAAGGTTTTTTTTTGGGGGGGGGGGGACAAAATAAACAATCAATGATGAGCAGGAGTCTGCTTCTAGACCTGCAGTAGGAGAAAGACAAAAAGAGAAAGAAAAGGGACACACAACAATACCACAGGAGCAAACTATCACTGCGCCAACCTGATGAGGAAGTAGAAAATCAACATTGTTTTACTGAACAATCACGATAATAAATCACAGTGCATTAAGTGCCAACCACAGCCTTAAGACATGTGTTGAACGTGCCCAAGTCCATACTTATGTGAGCACCATGTGAGCACCTGTGTGCGTACCCGTGCTTATATGTAAGGTTTCTCTATAGGAGCATCCGAGAGTGTGAGGGGCCACAGATCTGACCCCAAATATGCGTAGGAAATGGAAGGAGCTCCAAGTCTCAGAGATCCAGGAGCTGTCCCAGAGCGCAGGGACCCCAAGGAGGCTGCAACCAGAAAAGCCCCTGCCCCCACTAGAGGCACAGAGGATTGCCCCGGGGGGCCACAACCAGCAGCCAGCAGAGTCCCGGGGGATATCAGCGGCAAGCCCACAGACCCGCCCGCAGCCTCCCACCTCGAAGCCGGCCGAGCCCGGAAACCAGCGACCGCGGACCCAGGGCGACCAGCCCTGCCGGGGACCCAACAGAGCCCAGGGACTCAGATCCCACCAGGCAGCCACCGGGATTAATCAAGCAGACAACAAATAGCTTAAACCCCATGACCCAGGAGGCGCAAACACTCAGGCAGACCGAGGCACCACACTCCACACCTAGTGGGGCAGGGGAAGGGGAGGCGAAGATGTATAGCAGCAAAAGAAGTCCCAGGAGAGGGGAGGAGTCAAAGGCCCCACCTTACATATACAGTCATACACAAACACAGTCACACACACCCTCCCTCTTGATCACACAAACACATACAACCTAAGATTTCTGATTGGCTTAATGAACTGACCTGAATTGGAATTTTTATTATGTGAAGTGCCTTGAGACGACTCTTGTCTTGATTTGGCGCTATATAAATAAACTTGAATTGAATTGAATCGATGTACAAAAATGCACTCCAGACACCCACTCATGCTCCCCATACACACCCTTTTCACTCTGGTCCCTGTACTGCTGCGCAAAGGGTACAACCATCATCGGTTCCCAGAGTTCGACCCTTTCTGCTGGGGTGCTGATGAGCAGGCTCCCCCGCCCAACACCGAGCAAAGCGACCCACCACTCCAGACCCCAGCCAGACAGCCAGATCCCCCTCCTAGCCTCCAGCCCTGGGAAGCCAAACGACAACAGAGGTGTGCTAAGACCCCTAGTCTCCCTCCGCCTGCTCCAATACAGTGTTGGTGCGTGTTGATGAGGTGTATTTGTGGCTGTGGTGAGCGGGCAGTGCAGGGTTCGTCTGGCCTATGCCAGCTGATGCCACCACACCACCCCTCTTCCCCTACAGCACTCTGTGTATAAGTGCAGTATAAATTTGGAAGTGGGCACCGGCACTCGGGGTGAGGCTGAAAGATCCCCTTGCCAAATGCAGTTGAATGTGCTCACTCCCAAGGCCCTAAGTGTGTGTTTGCGTGGAATGTCGTTGGTGGAAGTGTTTAATGTGCAAAAAACATCGGGGTGCAGGCTGCCACAGGAATGCAGATATGGGGTCCATACATGCACCCCCTGACTTGTCCACCCCCCAAGGTCCTATGTTTATCTTTGTGTGATGATGTGAGGGAGCAGGAGGAGAAAAATGTGTGAGGATGGGGAGGAATGGATGGTTGGCCTAAGCCCTCCAGGGAGCCAGCTCCCCCCACTGGCCCCAATAGGCACCTCCGTTGCCAAAATGCCACCCAGGGCATGGAGACCCCAGCCCATCTTGCCAAGGCCCAAAGCAGCAGCATCACAGAGCTCCACGGAGTCCGAGGGAACCAACACAGCCCCACCCCAGCAGAATATCTACTCCCATTCCTACATTTGCACAGCTTCCAGAATATATAAGACATAGGACATCAAGGTAAGGTTGGGTCCTCCCCCTCCTGGACATCCCCCTCCGCCGTGATGGGACAGCAGAGGAGCCAAGGTCTACCCGAGGCCCCTGAGCCTGGGCCAGGCACTGCCGCATGTTCCTGCCTTCTTCCGGCAGCATACATGTCAGGACCCGACCCCCAAGGCCCCACCCAGATCCCCACACAGGGCCGGCCACACCCACACCCCGAGCCCCCAGGTCCCCACCCAGACCTACTCAGGGGCATTGCAGCCGCTAGGCAGCAACCCTTGGCCACCGCCAAGACCCCCAAGGGGCCCCACTCACAACCGCAAGTAGTCCACCCCTCGAGGCAGCCCAAGCACCTCCAGAGGGGGGCAACAGTCCCCCAGCCCCAGACACCCTTAGTGAACCCACCCTCAGGGAAAGTCCGCATTCTCCAAACTCAGACCCTCCACCCCATCACCCTCATCATCCCGCAGGACAATATCAATGACCGACACCCCCATCATCGCTATATGATGGAACCGATCAAAGGAGCCCAGAGAGATTGACTTGAAGTGGAAGCAGAGGCTGTATCAAGTGCAATATGATCGCTGACAACTATGGGGTGTATCTCAGTGTCTGAAATGTCAGCCAACAATGAGCTGCTGACTAGAAAATAATCCAAACGTGAATGAGAGTGATGGAAGTGTGAAAAAATAGTATACTCTCTGAGGTTAGGATGAAGAGATTGCCATGCATCACAAAGCCCATAATCACTCACGCACTGTTAAACTATGTTAGTGGATTACCAATTGCACTGAGTCCCAGCAGTACTGAGCCTGTCTGTTAAAGTACCCATCCAAAAATTAAAATCGCCTCCAAGTATAAGTGGACAGTCCAAGTGTTCGGAGGGTACAGAGAAAAAATTATGAAAGAATGAAGGCTCATCAATGTTTGGACAGTATATGCTGGCAATACATAACCTTTGCTTCTGTTTAGATATTTTTTGTATTATAAGTCTACCCTCTGGATCTGAAACTATGTCCAATACTGTGAAATTGAGGTTTTTGTGTATTAAAATAGCTACACCTCTTTGCTTAGAGTTATAGCAGACAGAGAGCATGCTAGAATGGTTTTCCAACAGTCTTGAAGGAGTTCCCAGAGGTGTTTAGCACTTGTTGGCCCCTTTGTAAATAGTCATGGTCATGAAAATAAAGGAAACACATTGAATAAAAAGGTGTGTCCAAACTTCTGGACTGTACTATATATATATATATATATATATATATATATATATATATATATATATATATATATATATATATGTACATACACATACACACACACACACACATATATATATATATATATATATATATATGCATATCACCAGCTGTTTCACCGTAACCATGTGGTCTCTGAAGCTAATTTCTGCTACCTGAACAGAGAACACAACACAGATAGGCTGTCTCTGTTAGCAGCCTCACCAAATGGAAAGTTCAGTCACATATCTTTTCTCAGTTCAGACTTTAAGTGCTCCCTCAGTAAGGTGAGTTTAATTCTTGCTTTTCTCCAACACCGACTGATGTACTCTCCATTCACTGAAGAAAAGTTTGCACTTGTTTCAGTTCTCAGAATTGAGGGGAGACCCAGCTGCGAAGATACAATAAGATTTCACTCAGTTGGTTTGTTCTGTGCTCAAATTAAAGTTAGACCTTGTGCACAGATGGTAGGGTTTAAAACTCAGCAGGCAGCAGTTGTCCCATCAAACAACTCAGTGATCACCAAGGAGTTTCCTCGTTAAAGATGTGACCTATTAAAGCTTGGCTCAGGTTAACAGTTCTGGTTCTAATGTAAACAGATCCTGATAGAGCTGGAGACGGCCTTACTGGATGACAAACCCCACTGGTACCCTCTTCAGACCCATGATGTCTTATCCATCCCACTGCCTCAACCCTCCCCCTACCTGCCCCGACGACACACAGACACATCGGGAAAGAAGCTGCAGCGTAAGTCTGAGCCTGTCCAGTGTGTGTGTGTGTGTGTGTGTGTGTGTGTGTGTGTGTGTGTATGTGTGTGTGTTTTATCACTGTGACAATATTTAACTTTTATTTAAAACATTTCTGTCAATATTAAGGTGTCTTTACCCAGATGTTTCCCTTGTGCCCAGTGTGTTTTTCTGTGCATGTGTGTCGTGTACATACCTACATACTTGTGTGTGTGTGTGTGTGTGTGTGTGTGTGTGTGTGTGTGTGTGTGTGTGTGTGTGTGTGTGTGTGTGTGTGTGTGTGTGTGTGTGTGTTTATTACTGTCTAGGTTCTCAGCGTGTTACAGAGCCTGACTTTGGTGAGGGTACAGCAGTAATTTCTAAAGGTGGGTGGGGTTGGTTTTATTGTTTTGTAATTGTGTACCATTTTCTCATGGCAGCGTATAAAGTTTGATCAAAATGTGTCCCTGACGTTTATTCTGAAATAAATTCTACACAGTATGTTCCAATGATCATCATCACCAGTCTTTCATCTGTTTAATCTTCTACACCTCAGTCAGATCTAATCCTATAAATGTCTTGTAACAGCTTGAGTTTCAAGTATTAATTAACTGGGTTTTCAAGATTTAAAAGACTTTATTGGCATGGACAGAGCATGTAGTTGGGGTGCCAAATCTGCTTCTGATGCTAGTATCCAGCATGTTTTAGTTGTTTCTCTGCTCCAAAACACTAGATTTGATGGCTGAATCACATGTTCAGCACATCAGGAAGCTCTGCAGAAGCATGTAAACCACCTCCTAATTAAAATAAGATGTGTTGGAGCAAGGAAACAAGTACATGCTGGATAAAGACCACTTCCACAGGGTCGCCGTGAGGCCTTCAAGCATAAAAAAAAGCTTTAAATTCAGAATGGCCAAATTTAAGGCCTTAAAATTGTTAAATTTTAGAAAAAGGTCATTGTTTTTTAGATTTTCATCTTATTTTTCAAATAGTTATCATGTTCATTTAGTCATAAATACACTGTTAGATTTGGTATTTATAAATAAAACAATATGGCGAAGCACATTACGACACCACATTTGTTGCCATGGTTCGCTTCTACAATTTTTGGCCAGCTACAAGCGAGAGCAGCAGGTACTGCTAATGTTTCCTCTCTCATAGAACTGGGCAAAATTTTATATTTTATCAATGTAATATAATTTCAAATGAGAAACAAGATGACCCAGTAACGTTTATACCGATATAAACGTCCAACCTGCGAGCTTCTAGATATGTCAGGTGTTGCTGCTGCTAGCTCGCTGCTTTTCCCGTCTGTAAGCAGTCATTAGATGTGTTCTCACACGTCACCAACGGGTCGGCTGCGTTGGTGACGATGTCACCATCACAAGCCTATTCTCACACGTCACCAACGGGTCGGCTGCGTTGGTGATGACGTCACCATCACAAGCCCTATTCTCACACGTCTCCAACGGGTCGGCTGCGTTGGTGATGACATCACCATCACAAGCCCTATTCTCACACGTCTCCAACGGGTCGGCTGCGTTGGTGATGACATCACCATCACAAGCCCTATTCTCACACGTCTCCTGGAACAGTCGAGTTGTTTTTTAGAGTAATAGAAATGTCAGAGATAATGTTTTGTCCTAAACTTTGCATTTGTCTTCATGGCTTTTAATTTTCGAGAGGCGTTCATTTGCATTTCAGCGTTTCACCACACCGGGGTGTGTTTTTCCTGTTCCTGTGCTGAAACAAGCAACAACCCCCCCCCCCCCCCCCCCCCCGCCTCCCTTGTAAGTAGGGGGCTGTTCCACAAAGCCAACTTAGAAAATCATGGCTTTTAAAAAAAATCATTGCTTGAAATAGCTCAGGTGGATTCACTCGTCGTTAATTCGAGCGAGGAGTGTGCGGGGCTCACATGCGTCCACAGGCAGCCCCTGTTAATCGATGCCAGATAAATGAGAATGGAAGGAAAGGAAAATACGTCAGTCTTCTCCCAGACAGCGCAAGAATTATTCATTCATGCCTACGAGGACTACAAAGAGATCAGAACTAAAATAGAGACCACCAGCTGTTTGATTAAAGCCGTGAAGTTGGAGTTTAGTTAGAACACTCAGCATTCACGGGTTTCCATGGCAACGGCTGCAGTCCGTGTCAGTCATGTAACCCTCAAGTCACAGATACACATTGAGCACCTTATTGCACACTAGGAAAACTTTCACTTGTATCTTTTAAAACAAAATGATCATGTTTGACATAGAGTTGAATATTTTCTGTTCATGTTTTTGTTAAAACAGCTTTTGTTCATTCTACTGTAGCATAACTGGAATTGCAAGATGCATTTTTATTTTCAGTTTTCAGGGTGTTCTGATGTACGAGAATAACATCAGTAAGAAGAGTGGGCTCTTTGTGACTAGAGTATAAGCTGTTTAAATGTATAGTTACATCAGTAAAGTATTTCCTTTTACACATGTATTGCTGCAGTTGCAAGGTACTTTTTTACGCGTTCATCAAGATTTACAGATCTTATCCAAGATTCTGGCTTTACACCTAGAATGTGTACTGTCCACGTTAATTAATGAAGATCAAATGGGATTCCTTACAGGTCGTAATGCGAATAACAACCTGTGCCGTCTGGGATGTTCCAATCACGTTTTTTGTTCCCGATCCGATTCCGAGTCATTTGATTTTGAGTATCTACCGATACCGAGTCCTGATCCGATACTTTCCAGGAAAGCATTAAAATAAGAAGAAAACATGTCCAAGTTGTCCTGTAAGATTCACTTTCACTTATTTACGAAGTACACTGATTAAAAATTGTGTTTATATTATATATTAGAAGTGGCAGCATTGCTCTTATTTCAAGTTGTTTACACCCTAAATACGCGGCTGTATTGAGCAATCCGTTTTCCCGTGATGAAGCAGGCAGGCGGAGCCTTAGCTGGCAGGGTAACCTTTCCCTGCGTAACACCTGTAGCTCCAGCACTCAGCTCTGGTGCTGCAGAAGAACTAGTAGCCTTAGCGTTTTGCAGTCTGTTGGCAATGTGTCATTGTTTAAAAGTGGATCTTTCTCTGTTGGCTGGTTCCGCATTTTTGTGTGTTCGCTGTGAACTGGGACTGTTGGAGGCAAACTGGGAATAAATGGAGACCGGTGACTCGCTTTATTGACGCCAAAAGTGAGATTAGTCTGTTTTGAAGTCAGTGATTCATGGAACTGTGTCCTTCCCAGCATGTTGAATGTCCGATATGCACACTCTACAAGTAGCTGTAGCCCTGCCCTCTCTGTCCAGTTTAAAAAACCACCAAGCTGAAGACATTGTAGCTGTCTTAAGGACATGCGCTAGCTCTGTGTTAGCCTGCCTTCGTGCAAGGTTTTCTTTGCAGAATGAGTAAAGGATGACCTGTTGGGGTATAGAAACCCAATTCTTAACTTGGCTTTAGAAAGTAATGAATGAATGTGAATGTAAGATGAAAGTGTGCTGAGTTACAGTTGAAGATCATGAACTTTCTTTTACTTGTTTTTAAATGAAGACGAAGGTTGGATAAGGTGGACAGTGAGCTGAAGGTGTGGAGAGGGGCTTGGAATGCGTCGGTCACCAGAAGAAAGCAGAACCACAGCGCATGCAGGAAGGTTCCTCTCACTGAAGCGAGTGTTTTCCAAACCCTGTCTCTCAGAGAGACTTGTCACTTAGAAAATGTTCCCTGATTATGAAACTGTGGCTGAATAGCGCTTGTTCCTGTCTCCAATGTAGCGACGCATCCATGAGCCTGTCTGAGGAAAGGTCCAGGATCTCATATCCTCTTCAGCTCAGAAAGCTCCTTTAGAGACATCTGATTACGCACAAGCAGGTGACCTGTCAACCCCGTGAGACCGGGTTGGACCTGTTCAGGTTTACATGGAGCAGGATGGAGTGCATCTGCTTTGGAGCTGAGTTGAGCGATTTCTTTGTAGCGGGAGTAGTAGTCGACCACTACTAGAAAGTCTTTCCCATTTTGTTCACACAAATCAGTGGCGACCTATTGCCAAGGTCCTTCTGGCAGAAGTGTAGTGATGAGAGGTTACGGCCGCTGCGTTGTTCTCTACCCCTGACAGAATGTGCACCGTGCCAACATCTGCTGGATGTCCCTACTGATTCCTGGCCACAACACCGACATCCTGACACTCTCGCGGAAATTTGTTAGTCCCTGGTGGCCCTCGTGGATCTGTGTTAGGACAGCAGACCTTAAAGGCCTTGGGATTATGAACCTGCCGTGGTATAACAATCACGTGGTATAAAAATCACGAAGTGCTTCACAAAAATTAAACAAAAAAAAGGAAAGAAAAATTAAAGTATAAAAATATTTAAAAAATGATTGAAATATGTTTTAAAGGGAAAAAAGTAAAATGAATAGGAAAAGGGGAAATCAGTGGATCCCGGGAAAGGCAGAATAAGAACAGAATAAGGAGAGGGAGGTGATGAAGGTCACAACAAAGCCTGAATAGGGGAGTTTAAAGGAGACCAGTGAGTCCACTGATCTCAGGCTCAGGGGGAGAGAGGTCCAGAGTCTGGGGGCCACAGCAGCAAATGATCTGTCACCTTTGGTCTTTAGCCTGGTGCTGCACAACCAGTAGGCTTTGACCACTGGGCCTCAGGGACCTGCTGGGGGTGTAGGGACTAAGAAGATCACCAATGTAAGATGGTGCTTGTCCATGTAAGGCCCTATAGACCAGAACCAGGATTAAGAAATGAACCCTGAGGCTGAATGGCAGCCAGTGAAGCTGGAGGAGAAGCGGGGTGATGTGGGTGTGTTTGGAGGACTTGGTCAGAAGCTGAACACAGGCATTCTGAACCACCTGTAGACGGTTCAGGGAGGTTCTGCTCAGACACGTGAAAAGAGAGTTACAGTAGTCTAAGCGTGAGGAGATGAAGGTGTGGATAACTGTCTCAAGTTCAGAGCAGGACAGAATGGGACTCAGCTTAGCAATGTTCCTGAGATGGAAGAAGGAAGAGCGAACAAGAGAACTGACATGAGAATCCAGGGTGAGGGCTGGGTCAAAGGTCACACCAGTATTCCACACACACACACAACTGTGTGCTGTTGCTTTGTGTCCTGCAGCTGACAGTCGAGGCAGGGAGAGGCAGCGGGAGTCCACGTCCACCCTGGAGGTGCCTGAGCAACAGCGAATGACCTCCCATCACATCCGGTCACGATCGGTTTCGCCGCACCGTGAGGAGCAGGGTCGCACCCGGTCCCGAGCACCCTACATCCCTGCCCAGAGGTCAGAACGGTGGCATGCTAACTTGTTTCTTCACATGTGAGCACTCTATTCTTCTAAATAACCGGCTGATGTGGAATGATTGTGTTGATGAGCACTAATATGAGAAGAAAACCAGCTCAGTGTCAGTGCTGTTAGTACGTATAAGGACAAAACATGCAGCAGAAAGGAAATGAGTCCATTGGAAGGCAGCAAACAGAGTCCATCTGCTGATGAAAAGGCTGTCTGAAGCAGAACACACAGTGCTGCCAGTTTTTACTGGCTGAGTTCAAGGAAAGAGGCTGCTGCAGCTTTGCCAACCTGACACAGAGCTCTGTGTGTGTGTGTGTGTGTGTGTGTGTGTCAGGAGTTTGGACGATGAGCTTCCACACACTCGCCGTTCTCGTTCTCCAAACCGTTACTACGATGCAGGGAGAGGCGGCCGCCAGAGGGAGGAGTACCTGGATGACAGGTGTGTGTCGAGCACTGTCAGATTAAACCAGCCATGTCTTTAAATGATTTCCATCTGTTTGAACAAAACAACGAATTACTGTTAGTTTTCTTTTTCTAAACCTGAACAGTGTTCTCAGACGTTGAGCATCTTGTGTTCTTGAACGTGTTCCAGTGCTGAAGCTCTGTGTTTAAAATAAGAAAGTGTTTGTGAAGACCTCTCCTTCCCATTCACTCTTTTCTTCCTCTGTTTTGGATGTTTGACTGTTGTTGATTTCCTCATGTGTCATCCATCTCCATGGTAACCACAGTGAGTTCATCACGCTTCACCAATCAATGCGAGGCAAAAGTGCTGAGTGCCTGCACACCAGGTAAACGGACCTATTGTTACATGTTGTTTTTGTTACCAGGCGAGGTGAATTGTTGTGTTATTCATGTTTGGTTCATTTGTCTTGTATCGTCTCAAGAAGATTCCCCAAAACAGAACAGAACATCAGGGAATAACGTTTGATTTGACTAGGAAAACAGCTGTGGCCTGAAAGTAGCTCAGGTTTGGACAGAATACTCATTTTTAGACACATTTTATGGATTTGTCTCACAAAGAAGCTGAGGTTTGTGTTCTGGGCTGGCTCATTGGGTCATGGCAGCACAAAGCCAAAAGAGACCTGTAGTGGTATTTGTGCAGCCACGCTGCTACCTAGTGGCCACGAGAGGCCAGTGCAGCGTTGTGAGGCTGGTCTCTAGCCAGTCCTCCACTCAGCACTCTGAACTCCCTGTACTAGTGATGAATACTTGTTTCTCTTCATCTTTTCAACATTGTCACACCTGCTTTTGGTTAGAACTACACAATCTTTAGACGTTGATCTCAGATTATTTTAGATTTTAAGATTTTCATGTAAGCCGGCGAGGTAAATCCAATCCCACGCTCCACAATGCAGCGGTTTGGTGCTTACAGTCTTGGCCAGTGGTTGGTTCTGTTTAACATCTGTAGACATGTTTTATTCATGAGCTATCTCAATCAGATCTTCAGAAGAGAGAGAAAAGGGTAAAGCATCAGGATTAATTCAGCTTCATGCCAGCTGGAAATGACTGGAGAAGGTTTTGTCCTGTAGGATCAGCTCTCTCCTCATCTGGTCTTTCCTCTCTGTTCCCACTTGTGACTACTGCATGCGTTAGATCACATTTTACACTCTGACACCTGAGTTGTTCCATATACCACCAACAACACCAAAGGTGGGTCTCCAGGGACATCATCTTAGTTGTTGTTGGTCCAGTAAGGTCCTCCGTATCACAGAGTCACACTAATGGGTAGGAGCTGTGGTCCAGCATCATGTACTTATCACAAGCTGTGATTCGAGGTGAAGGACATTCACACTTCTCACCCGTTCGCCCCTCTGTTTGATCTGTGCGGAGCAGTAAGGTGTGCATGACAGGGCCTGAAAACTTCTTTAGTGGCTATCAACACAAACTTGTGATTTATAAAGAAGGACTTGATGGAGAGGAGGGTCCGATCGATAGTTGAACCTCAGATAGAGGAGGAGCAATGTGGTTTTCGTCCTGGCCGTGGAACTGTGGACCAGCTCTATACCCTTGCAAGGGTGATGGAGGGGGCATGGGAGTTTGCCCAACCAATCCACATGTGTTTTGTGGATTTGGAGAAGGCTTATGACCGTGTCCCCAGGGGCACCCTGTGGGGGACGCTCCAGGAGTATGGGGTGGGTGGCTTTCGGTTAAGGGCTATTCAGTCCCTTTACCAGAGGAGCGTGAGTTTGGTCCGCATAGCCGGTAGTAAGTCGGACCTGTTCCCGGTGAGGGTTGGACTCCGCCAGGGCTGCCCTTGGTCACCGGTTCTGTTCATTACCTTTATGGACAGAATTTCTAGACGCAGCCGTGGTGTGGAGTGTGTCGAGTTTGGTGGCAGGAGAATCTCGTCTCTGCTTTTTGCGGATGATGTGGTCCTCCTAGCTTCATCCAGCTCTGACCTTCAGCTCTTGCTGGGTAGGTTCGCGGCCGAATGTGAAGCGGCTGGGATGAGGATCAGCACCTCCAAATCTGAGAGCACGGTTCTCAACCGGAAAAGGGTGGCTTGCCAACTCCAGGTCAGGGGAGAGGTCCTACCTCAATTGGAGGAGTTTAAGTATCTCGGGGTCTTGTTCACGAGTGAGGGTAGGAGGGATCGGGAGATCGACAGGCGGATTGGTTCGGCATCTGCAGTGATGCGGACGCTGAGCCGATCTGTCGTGGTGAAGAGGGAGCTGAGCCAGAAAGCCAGGCTCTCGATTTACCGGTCGATCTACGTCCCAATCCTCACCTATGGTCATGAGCTTTGGGTAATGACCGAAAGAACGAGATCGCAGATACAAGCGGCTAAAATGAGTTTCCTCCGTAGGGTGACCGGGCTCAGCCTTAGAGATAGGGTGAGGAGCTTGGACATTTGGGAGGGACTCGGAGTAGAACCTGTGCTCCTCCGGATCGAAAGGAGTCAGTTGAGGTGGTTTGGGCATCTGGTCAGGATGCCTCCTGGACGCCTCCCTGGGGAGGTGTTTCGGGAATGTCCTGCCGGCAGGAGGCCCCCGAGTCGACCCGGGACACGTTGGAGAGGTTACATCTCCAATCTGGTCCGGGAACGCCTTGGGATCCTGCTGGAGGAGCTAGTGGAGGTGGCCGGGGAGAGGACGGTCTGGAGCTCCCTAGTTGGGATGCTGGCCCCGCGACCCGGACCCGGATAAGCGGAGGAAGACGACGACGACTTGATGGAAAAACGTGGTGACTATAAGAAAACACTGGACTTGGTGTTCAAGACAGGAAACCTGGCTGCAGCCAGTGACATGATTTATGATCACCAAAAGAAACAACATAGCTCCTTTCTTTGAGATAGGACTGGAACCACCTATGGACTGTGCCTGATAGTCCCACTCAGTTTGTGAGTCTGTCCAGAAGGATGTTACGGTCCACATTATCAAAAGCTGCACTGAGGTCGAGCATCATCAGGTCAGGTGCTTTACCTGAATCAGTGTTGAAACAAATGTCGTTTAATACCTTGATCAGTGCAGTCTCTGTGCTGTGGTGCTGTCTAAAGCAATTACTGCCAAAGATGCATCAGCTGTGAGTACTGTGGGAAAAACCTTTTTTTTTTTGTCATTATTTGAATACAATTTGGAATCAGGCTGTAACGTAAAACTATGCAGATTAAATGGTGCATTGTGAAAAATCTGGATGCCGTATGTAAGCTGCAACAAGGTTCTGAGTTTGATTCTTACGTGGTCTGTGATTCTCATCAAGCTGTTATTAGGCTGCACATGGAATATTAATTTAACAAGTAATGGAGTATGCATGTTTCTCTTAGCTTCCCCAACAACATGCATAACTACACCTAAATAATACTGCTATAGGGGAGCATTAACAGCAAGTTCAGCCTTCAGACAAACATAACCAAAGTTTAAGCTTATTTTCATCTGGAGGAGATTAAAAGGACAAGTAAATAATATCTGCGTTCCTGTTGGCATTGCTGATTCAGAGACCAACCCCAGAGGAGATGTCGTGATTACTTGTACGGCTGCTGATTTTGTGTTTTAAGGGGAAAGCTAATTGTGTGTATTTTAAATTATTATCTGGAAATTATTCCATTTGTTAACATGTAGCATCATAAATCTGAGGAATTAGGAAACATAGCATTTGTTGTGTAATGAAGCAACATGCCTAATATTGTAGGTCAGGGGTGTTCAGTTCAGATCCTGGAGGTCTGGTATCCAGCATGTTTTAGTGGTTTCTCTGGTCCAACACACTTGATTCACCTGTGCAGCAGCTCTTCAGAAGCCTGTTAATCACCTGCTGATTAAAATCGGGTGTGTTGAAACAGAGTTAAAAGTAAAACGTGCTGGACTTCCAGTTCGAGGTAGAGTAGACTGTAACACCAGCTAGAGTTTAACGAGGGGAAAGTTTGAAGTCATCAGAGTGGCAGCCATCTCCGTGTCATCCCTAAAGTTAGGACGCATATTCACGGCCTCTGGAACGAGCTGCCGGGGGACCTCAGGGCTGCTGAGAACATTCATGTTTTTAGAAACAGGCTCAAGACCCATCTTTTAGCTTAGCTTTTAACTGAATACTCTCACTTTTTAATTAATTAATTACCTAGTTTATTTATTTATTTGATCTATTTATTTTATTTATTTAATGTATTCTTTCTTTATACGTGCTTTTTAAACAGTATTTTATCTTGATTTATGATCAACATTATTTTAATATCTATTTAACTTTTTATATTACAATTCTCACTTTAGTTCTTTGGATTTTATATTTTAACCTAAATTTAACCTTTTTCCAGTGCTTCCTCTGTGGGAGCCCTCTGCCCCAGTGGCGGTGGTCGGCTGTGGTGGCCTGGCTGCTTACCAGGTGTGCCTAGGTGGAGGTGGGGGTCTCTGCCCTCCCTGCCCTGGGCGCCCTGTGTCAGTGCCTCAGCTGCTGCTGTGGATCTGCTGCTGCCGGGGCGGATGGCTCCCCTGATGGTGTTTCCTTATCCTTAGCTTAGCTGGTCAGGCTCATCTGATCTCAGTCAGTCATGTTTTTTCCATGGGGAAGCGGGCATGTGTGTGTGTGTGTGTGTGTGTGTGTGTGTGTGTGTGTGTGTGTGTGTGTGTTGGTGGAGGAGTGTTGTGGGGCCTTTTTAATTTGTTAAGCACTTAGAGTTGCATGTATTGTAGGATTAAGTGCTATATAAATAAAGTTGATTGATTGATTGATTGATTGATTGATTGATAAAAGTTCTTGGACCTCAACAGGCTGGATCTGTTTATTCTCATTCATCTTAGTCACACCGTAGACTCCAGACACGTTTAACATTAAGAATTTTTAAATCTAAAAAACATTTCATTTAAAAGCCTTTTTTCTGTTCTCCATTGTTTCTCTTTGTCCTCCTCCTCCACCTCCTCCATTGGATGGCATGTTTTGGTGTGATGCGTCTAGTGATCTGCAGCCTTCTCTGGACAGGGTTAGGAGCATTAGCACCAACTGTCTGACTCCAAACAATCATGCCCCCTCACCAGAGACTGAAAGGTACCATCCTCTGCTCCTCCCTGTAGTCCTCCTGTTGTCCTCAGCTACTCCTGGTTGTTGTATTTCTCTCTAATCTGACTGACTTCTCTTCATCAAGCCATATATATCATCACTGCATCATCTCACTGTCCAGAACAACATGCAAAGATCCACCTGCTGTTGAGAACTATTGGAAACATGCTACCAGACTAGTTTGGTCGTCTATCGAGGAAGAAGCTGCTCCTGAAACCCAAACCCTGATCATTTTGAGTCAGGTTTACTCTGCATTGATTAAAGTGACAATGTGTAGTTTTGCCTTTAACAGGGCTGCCAACTTTAGATCTTTTCAATGTATTGGGTGCCACCAGCGCAACAGCAGTTTCGGAGAGTTTCATAAAGAAAATGTGAACTTTGTGCTACAATAATTCTGTCCTGTTTTGCAAAACTGTTGTTTTCTGTTGATTTTATTCAAAAAACAACAACAAAAAACAACTGAAAACTAAAAAATATGAACTTAAAACAAATCTTGTTAAATTTATCACACTGTTGGACTTATATTACGTCCCCCAGCTCGCTAGGAGTGATGTGGTGGAGGGAGTAATGAAAACGTGTGCGGTATTAAATAATAACGTAGTGTGTCGCTAGAAACAAGGATTTTATTACAAAAACTCAAGTGGACTAAAAGTATTTACACTAAAAAGAGAATATTTGCATAAGAAAACAAAGGAGCCGTGTAGATGCGGTTTTAACAGAAAGCGCCAGCCCAAAAGGGGCTGGGAATACTAACAGAAACAGTCCACCAAACACCCACAACGTAAAAAGGAGCAGTGCTGTTTAGCAGAGATACTCTGACAAATCCAAACCCGAGAGTAATAATCAAAGGTCGAGTTTACAAAAACAGCTAATCAGTAAGTCTAGCACACGAGGAGCCGTGAGGAGTGAGAACACTTCCCTGTGACCTTCTCCTGGTCTCAGCCCAGGGGACATCCCTTTATCAGCCGTGGTGTGATTAGAATCACGCACAGCTGGGCAACTGGAGGAAGGAGTCAGGTGAGGATGGTGCCACTGAGGCCATCTGGTGGCTGGAAAGTGAAGCGCCAGTAACGCCTTACTTTTATCTGTTGGCTCTCAAACGTTCAGGTTATCTTATTGAAGCAGAGTACATAAAATAAGTGTGCCTTACCCGGGTATGAAATTTAACAAAACTGCCCTGTTTCTCCCAGCTGTGTTCCTTCCAGCCAATCACAGGCGAGAAAGGTGGGACCTTCCTTGGACATCTTACAACTTTAGATTACACGAACTGGAAAGTAAAGCGCCAGAAAACTAGCATCAGCGCTGCATTCTCTCAGAGGATTTAACTGAATGACTATCAGTCTGCAGAGTCGCAACGATGTCACGTTTACCATAATGTTTTTTTTAACTAGCGACCGTCACGGCGATGTGATGTAAAGCTACTCTGAAATGTATGTATGTACTGCCCCCTAGTGCCAGGAAACTACACATTGCCACTTTAAATGTAGAAACACTTGCAGTTTAATAATGACAGCATGAGATCAGAGCTGCACGACTAGCCCGTTCATAGAAACCCCATCAGAAGCAGCACCACCAGGAGGCTGTGCTTCGGATTTTCAAGACTTTTCATACTGGGCGCCTCGTTCTCAGGTTTCAGCAGCAAAGAGAAAAATAAGTCAGCCCCTGTCTGTTTGTTGGGATTTAATTTAACTACTAGAAGTGACTTAAGTCAATGTTTCATTCATGTATAAATCAACCAAACCTCCAAACGAAGTTGTTTTCAGCCGTGTTTCAAGTTAGTATGTTTATACTATGAAGGTTATAAGGGCCGTGCTCTGATAATTCTGTGATTCTGGCTGGTTCTGTTAGCCCGAGGGCTCAGATGGACAACTTTTTATGGACTCTGCTCTCTGAGTTTGCCCTGTGGGTGATATATTTTGTATGTGTACACATAGAAAATCTTTGTCCCATTCCCTGCCTCGACAACGCCCGGCAAGTCCCAGGATTCTTATCCAACACGCTTCCCCGGAAGACGACAGGTACCCTCTTGTGGACCCCCCCACCCTCTCAAACTGCTTTTTTTTATTTGGAGCTTGACTTGTGCCTTAAAGTCTGATACTTTTACGACTCAAACCTTAAACTGTCCTGATGAGACGATGAGCTCTATGTTTCTGGGTTTAGCTGGTAAACGCTGACACACCTCCTTGGTCCAGGCCTTAGTGGTGTTCAGGCAGATGTCAAGCTCTTTGTGGTACTTTCACTAATCTCTCTGGTGATACCCGTGTGAATATCTAGTAGTAGCTTTCCACAAAAACCTTTGGCTTTCTTCTGTTCTGGTGAAAGTCTAGTGAGTGACTTTATCTTGTATCACAGAAACAGGAACAACCGGAGGAAAGTTGTTTGGTTATCTTTTAGGGCCCCAGATAAACCACAGGCGTGGCCAGGTTAATGAACTAGTGAATTCCTGTTACTTAAAGAGCAAGTCACCCCCAAATCACTTTTTTTTTTGCTGATAAACTATATAAAGGAGTGTCTAATCACGCTGCAGACATGTGTACAGTGATCCCTCGCTACTTCGCGGTTCGTTTATCACGGATTCACGACTTCGCGGATTTTTTTCGGAGCCTTATTGAAGGGAAATTCGCCGATTCGCAGTATTTTTCTATGCGAAATGTCAAGAAATTCCTTTTTATTTTCATCAATTTCATCATAAAATGCACTTTTTGTAATAAAACTATAAAAAAACCAAGTAAAAAAATTTTTTTCTTGAGTTTTACCCACAAAAAGAGAATGTGATCATACGATAATTCAATATAGTACTGTATGTCAGACTGGTCGGCTGGATTCGGGAGTTGAGCTTGTAGGGAGAGTGGTTTCACAGACGCGGAAGTGATAGCGTCGGTGAAACGCCGGCTGATCTAAGAAACCCCCGAGCGTTCGAGTGTCAACGAAGTGACACGGAAATGCCGGGCTTTCCAGAAGTAAGTAAGATAACTTACTATGAGCTGACAGTTCGTTGGATTGATCGGTAGGTTGGAAACTCTGATCATGAATCTGAAGAAACGATGACTGAGTGGTGAGCTGGAAAGGCGACTTCCGTATTTAGCCGCGGTTTGTGACGTAGGTGCGACGTGGAGGGAATCCCCGCGAGGGGCATGCTGGGAGTCCCTACTTCGCGGATTTTCACCTATCGCGGCCAGGTCTGGAACACATCTACCGCGATAAACGAGGGATCACTGTAGTCAATAATTTGGCAGTTCAGTGCATCTTGGTTAAAATTCAAATATTCTGCCTAAAACTGTCAGTGTTGCGCCGTTGTCAGGGAAAAATTCTGCACTGTATTCGAATTTAAATCTGCCACCGCTATTGGCTAAGAGGTATGCTATGATGTCATCTGGTACATTATGATGTCATAATGCCACTGTGAGCCTCTGTGTGTGTGTATTTGTTAGCGGCTCCGCCCTCTCGGTCTGCCAAGCAACAGCATTTGTTGCCTTTTTCAAACATGAAGTGGGAGTGAAGTAAGTTTCTTGTAGGGGGTGACTTGCTCTTTAAATAAAATAAACAAAATGTCCCCAAAAGGTTTACATGGCAAGCTTTTAAAATTGCCAGACTATTTTCTAAGCATGAGTGTGTGTGGTGTGCGGTCGGCCACACAGCAGACGCTACACACTTACAAAACCTCAGTGACTTCGCTGTAGACGGCCAAGAGGGAGGGCCGGATCAAAAAACAGCATCTTGCCGTGTGAACTGGGCTTCAGTTGGTTTCTGAAGACGTTTCCACTGTTGCTGTTAGCAAATACAAGATAAAATTACAAACTCTTTCTGTCACTCTGTAGCTGTCCTGTAGGCTGTGAGATGATGTGAGCTGAACTTAATGTACACTGCCTGGCCCAATAAAACCTAATATTGTATCGATTAGCTCTGATTACGGCACACATTCGCTGTGGCGCTTTACTACGTTTCTGCACCAGATTGATTTCCATCCACTGCTGCATTAATTACTCACCTGGATCTTGTGTTGACGAGTTTCACTACTGCACAAAACCTCCTGTAGCACATCCCAAGGATTCCCAGTGGGTTTAAGGTCCAGACTCCTTTGTTGTCAGGGAAGAAACTAGTCATTAATGGAATAACCTAGTCATTCACTATGCTCAGGTAGTCAGCTGATCTCATTCTTTGGGCTCATATTGTTGCTGAACTTACACCTGACCCACTGCATCAACACCACAGGCGTGTACAGCTGGCACTAGGCATGATGGGTGCATGGGTGGCAGGGGCTCTGGAGGGAAGAAGAGGGGTCGTCCAGTAATCAGGACTTGTTTCCTCCATCCCAGAGCGTACTCAGTTATTCTGCATCCAGTCATCCTTGGGCAAGACACTTTTACCCGCTCTCTGCTTGATGCCAGTGTCCTGCGCCTGCTTACACAGACGGATATTTGAAGAAGGCCTTTTGCTCAGTTCAATCCAGGTGGTGACCTTTTTGGCCAGGCAGTGTACAATGTGGAGCTTGTCAAACTGAAAGCCTCCAGATCACAAACATGTTCAAACTCTGTGTAAAAATGTTGTTCATGTTCTGTAGAAGGTTGTGTTCAGTTCGTAGTCAGCTAAGGAACAGCTGTTTCAGCTGTCTCCTGACTTCCTGTGCTTGTTAGATCCCGTTCCTTGTGGCGTTTGTGTTGCTGCTGTCTCAGACCTGTTGGGTCTGGGTTTGGCGTGAACTTTCCTCTGCGTTTGCTTTCTGCTGTTCAGTTTTTCTTTTGTGGCACTACAGCTTCTGCGCTCTTGCTCGCTCTACTCAGAATTGTTGAAATGATGTGATACTCAAAGCTCCAATTGCCAGTGTAATTGTGCATGTGTGTGTGTGTGTGTGTGCGCGCGTGTGTGTCACTTTGGTGATTGTCTTCCTAAATGCAGCACTTTTGAACGGAGATGATGTGTGATCGTTGGCTTTGGTCTGATGATATAATGGAATAGTTCTCGGCTGTTTTCCTCCATAGTGCAGCCGATCAGACTGATTAAAGTCTTCTTGACATGTTTTCTGTTCGTTTCTGATCTCAGACTGTCGACCTAAACAAGCTCCAGCTACTTCTGTGCTGCAGGCTTCCAAACTCTTCTGTGGTTTTCTTTCACGCTTTTTTTCTGTTGCTTTTGCAGCGGGTTTCGGCTCTGACTGCTGACATTTTTCTGTCCTCTTTGGTGATTTTGGACTTTTCCCCCATTGTTTTGTCTGGACAGGCTAACCAGAAGACCAGATTGAGTCCCTCTATCATCCAGTCCATGTTCTGCTCCCTCTCAGATTGATGATCTCACCTGTGTTCCTCTCCGCCTGCTTCACTCTCCTGTCTTCTTGTGTTAGGGGTCACCTACCAAGTGGTGCGTCTCTGTCCGCGGTGGCGGCGGCATCTTCGGCGGCACGCAGGGCGAGGCAGCTACCCCAGCTTCCACCTCAGAGCAGCTCTGTAGAACAAGGTGTGTGTCATGCACACACACACACACACACACACACACACACACACACACACACACACACACACACACACACACACACACCTCTACTCTTTCATTGAGTATTGGGAGAGAGAGTGTTTGTGTGACTTAATTTGTCAGCAATTTTATCGAAATATAGATATGAATTAAACTCATTATGGGATGTTGATGTACAGCTGCCTAACTTTAGGACTGGCACATCCTAAAGAGGCTCTTGGCATCTTAACAATCGGCAGCTAGGTCCGTTTACATATCTAGGATTTCCTCAGGTCTTTAAAGTGTTTGGAGGTAGCAGCAAGCGTCAGTGGAGCGGTTCTGGGTTATCTGCTGGGGGGGCGGGGGGGGGGGGGGGGGGGGGGATGGTGTAGATGCCATTTCCTGCATTCTGGTGTTTTTACACAGGTTATTAAACACCTATGTTACCTACAGTAGTAAAACTTTAACTCAATAACCATTGGTTCACCACAAACCTCCAGCTGCTTAATGCAGAAAATACTAAAACACAAAAAATAACAGCTTCCAATAAAATGCTAATTGTGTGTTTATTTTATTCTTGTTGATGATAAGAACACCAGCAGCTGACTTTGGACTACATTTGAATTTAATGAACAATTTTAACATTTAGTAACAACCACGCCTCTTTGTAATATATATTTTACAAGGTAATAATTTATCCCAGTACAAATAGTATTACTGAAAATGCAGATACCAACAGGAATTTAGTTAGTAGTAGAAATGTTATATATGGATATCCAACAACTGCACTGATCTGAGACAAACTCAAATCCTTAAAAAACCCTTAGTAACATTAATTAGGCAGATTGGATATGTGTTCCGGATATCTATGAATCTGTCGTTCCAAGTACATTTTTATCTGTATCATCTGATAACATGGACCAACGACCAAATGCGTCATCTTAAGAAGTGTGGGGGGGGGGGGGGGTCCCCTTCAGACATAATAGCTAGAAGACCCGCTTGAAAATGAGATGGTATTTTCAATTCAAGTTTATTTATGAAGCGCCAAATCACAACCAGAGTCGTCTCAAGGACCTTCACACATTAAACATTCCAACACAGGTCAGGGGCCTCATTTATCAGGCTTGCTTACACACAAAACGGGGTTGGAAAACTGTGTAAGCTACTTTCCATGCAAACTTTGGGATTTATGAAAGAAACTTAGCGGAAAAATTTTCGCAACATTAAGTTGACTAAGGACCTGGCTTACACACATTTTGGACATGAGAGCACCTGCAGTGCTGCTGCTGAGAAGGACACACCTATGAAATTCTGCAGCATTATCACTTGTACTGCTTCGTTTTCACACAGAACAAGACCCCCCACATGCACACACACGCACATGCACGCACAGTCACACACACACGCGTGCGCGCGCGCACACACACACACACACGTGCGCACGCGCGCCCACACACACGGCCTGAATCGCAGAATACGGAATGCAGAATATCAGCAGGGGGACAGAATGTCATGCGTCTGTGACAGTGTGTGTGTCCTGTCACTGTGACCCGATTGATCACGTGCCCTGGCTACATGGACAAGGGAGATCTCCGTTTGGTTGACTGGTTAGCGTGCGTGACTTTCACCCGGGAGACTGGGGATCGAATCCCAATTGGACCATTTTTTATCCGCCTCAGATCTCTCTGAAGAATTCACAACATTGACGGCTTCAGCAACGCTGTGCCACTCCGTGGATTTTCTCTTATTTGTTTTGCAAAATTACTTCCTTTCATTTCTCCACCTCACCCACAGGTACCTCAATTTCTGCTCCTGTGAAATTGTGCCTCCTTGATCTGCCTTGATCTACAGTCGCCATGTCATTGGTGGAGCGCTGCAACAGCCAGCTTATGTATATGCATGAGATCCACAAGGCACTTTGCATTGACTCTTTATGGCAGTAAGTGGGCGTGGTGAGGGCGGGATGTGACTAAAATGCAGCTGAGAAACATTCTAGATAGTTTCTGATTTATGAGGCGGAGACTGCGTGCAGCTGCGCGTACTCCATGTTGGATAGATCACAAACCTACTTGGCGAAAGCACTTTTTTTTGCTGAGCTTAAGTACGGTTTTAGTACGGATTCTACGCAATGTTTGATAAACGAGACCCCAGGTCATTAAGCCATTCAGTAAAAGGTGTCCTATATAAGGAACCCAGCAGGTTGCATCAAGTCACTGACAAGTGTCAGAGTCTTTACAGCAATCCTCATACTAAGCAAGCATGCAGCGACAGTGGAGAGGAAAACTCCATTTTAACAGGAAGAAACCTCCAGAGGATCCTCGCTCAGTCACCGACACAGTCACATTGCATTGGCTCCCTGTATGTTTCAGGATCAATTTTAAGGTTCTTTTAATGGTTTTTAAGTGTCTTAATGGTCTTGGCGCTTCTTATCTCTCACAATTGCTTTTATCATATGAACCCTCACAGCATCTGCACTCCTCTGGCAGGCATCTCCTGGTTATCCCTAAAGTCAGGGCTAGGGTTGGGCATCAAGCATCGAGCATCGATTGGAAACGGTTCCAACTGTTAGTTTTTCCCGGAGTCGTTCAAAGTTTTTTTTTTCGATTCCTAATTTTGATTCCTAGAATGCCGACGGAAGAGGAATCCGCGGCCGATCTCCGTGAAAAATAAACATGATCTGCAAATTGTGATCAACTCTTTTCAGAGCTGATCACACCAGCTGTCTGTGTGCAGCACCGAGCCCCCCCTTCCCCCACCCGGATATAAACAAATGTGTCTGCCGAACTTTTACTCCGTAATGTAAACTTCAACTCCTGCAGCGTAGAAACTTGTTAAATACGTCAACACGGTGGATTTAATAGAAGCTTTAAAGAACAAACTCTGGACGGTGTGAGGTGAGTTTGTCTCACTGCAGAAATAAAAACACACACGGAGCGTCAGCAGTCAGACGCAGCCGCTCACCAACACTCGTGTGTGTGTGTGTATGTGTGTGTGTGTGTGTGTGTGTGTGTGTGTGTGTGTGTGTGTGTGTGTGTGTGTGTGTGTGAGTGAGTGTCAGAAGACTGAACAATAGCCTGTAGAATAATTAAAGTCATCATGCTAGAGCAGCTTCTCTGTGGTGGACCACACCAGCTTCTGCCACAATAAATAATAATAATAATAATAATAATAATAATAACAATAATAATAATAATAATAATAATAAATCACACAACGCTGTGAACATTTTAATTTCCTTTCTGAACTATTTCTGTTGAGTTTTAATGTTTAAAATCTGTTAGATTGTTACTGACAGCAGCTACATTTAAGTTTTACTTTCTGTTCTGACTGAATGCTGCTGCAGCATGGAGGTGTAGTTCTCAGTCATCCTGGACATGATCATCCTGAGAGTTTTAGCTGAAAACAGCTGGACGTTCCTGGATATGTTGGAGACATTTAGCCTCTCATCCCAGAGGCTTCTTCCAGACTTTGGTTGTGGTCAGAAACAAACACACTGGTTGTGCTGCAAGTCTTTTTCTTTTTTTTTTCTCCAAAACATGTTTTTGTCTAAATGAAGGTGGTGTTGTTGCTCATAGAATTTAAATTCATGTTGGAGTTAAGATTATTTCAAGTAGGACCAGTGGTAAGCTAGCTCATGTAAAACATGTCATGTCTTGAAAGAATCGGAATCGGGAATCGATAGGGACCAGAATCGAAACAAGGAATTGGAATCGGAATCATTCAAAATCAAACCATGCCCAACCCTAGTCAGGACACACACTCATGGCGAGGCGTCCTCCCAGTATTACGGGCCGCAGAGTATGTTCACATTTTTAAGACCAGGCTCAAGACCCACCTATTTAGGTTAGCTTTTAACTAATTATTTATTATAGTTTTATGACTTGCTTTGAATGTTTTACATGGTATTTTAGCGTTGTTTCATAATTAATTATATTATTATATTACTCTCTTTTTATTTTTTTATTCTTTTCTTACTTTTATCATTTATATTAGCTCTTTTATTGTTATATTTTTACTCATTTTAATCCAGTGTTTTCTCTGTGGGGGGGCCCTCTGCCCCAGGGGCGGTGGTCGACTGTTTCTGCCTGGACGCTCTACAGGTGGTGGTGGGAGTCTGTGCCCTCCCTCCTCTGGGCACCCTGACTTGGTTGCTGTGGTATACCTGATCCTGCCAGGGCAGATGGCTCCTCTGTTGGGTTTCCTTGCCTTACCTTAATTGGCTCTTCTGAACTCAGCCAAATATAATTTTTCTGATGTTGTTGGGTGTGTGTGTGTGTATGTGTGACTGTTAATGCTTTGATGTTATGGGAATTTGGGGTCATTTTAATTCTGTAAAATACTTTGAGTTGCATTTTTGCTTGAAAAGCTCCTTACAAATACATTCTGATTGATTGATTGATTGATTGATTGATTGATTGATTGATTGATTGATTGATTGAAGACTAGAACATACACAAAATTCTCATGTTAGGCCATGAGAATATAATTTGTAAAGTCCTATTTTCTCAAGGACTTTATATAAAAATGGGAGGTCAGTGTCACGGTCTGTCTTGTCTCCCAGTTTCTGTCCTGTGTCCATGTTAATTGCTCCCACCTGCCTCTCATCTCCTGTAACGGAAACAAAGTGATGTAACTATCTAAAGTTGTATTTTAATACACTGTTAGTAGTTCACTTTTATAAACAGAAGAATAGGCTGTTTTTATCATCAGGGAGTTTAATTAAACACTCTGTATTGACTTTGAGACAAGAAAAGAGAGAGATGGGATCGTTTGAGAATCTTTAATTTCTGAATTATAAATTCTAAACAATCTACCAGGACTACTCTGTGATGGATGAGAATGGATTCGGATGTTGTGTTGGTGCGTGTGTGTGTGTGTGTGTGTGTCTGGTTCAGATTCTCTAGGATGACGTAATCGAATCTGGTCGTCTTTGTTATGACTAGATATCACGAGGCTTATAAAGTGATGACATGAGCCGCTATTTTGCCGTGTACGTACCCAGTGGG